TTATTTTATTTTATATTCCACTCATTTATTTATTATCTGCTTGGTGGCGAACATTTTCTCGGCAACAATTTCACCCTTATTTTATTGCATGGTCACAATCTTTACAGAAGCTGACTGCCTGGTACTTCCATTCCTGGCAGTTTGCATGTGGGCTTGAACTGCTGGCCCTTTGATTTGTCGTGGAATGCAGTCACCACAACAGCATGGCCACATTGGGGGCGGGGGGTGGGGTGGTGAAGCATTTATCACACAGACACTGTAATCTGTGTGCTTAAAATGATGAGCATATTGGGCTATTAATTCAAAGTTTGACGTTCCCACGTCATCCAGAGAGACTGTTGAAAGTAGCTTGGGGAATCTCTGTGTCCTCATGCCTCAACTTAAAATCTCAGCCCCCCAGTTTTCCTGTCTCCCGTCTGCTGAGTAAGAAGCCACTTGATGATGTCCATTTGGGGGAGAGGGGCCTTGCATCAATCATTTACCTTTTCCTTTCTTTCAGGAAGATGGTCAAGGCAAACATGTGGGGTCTGCAGCCTTCTAGGTAAGACAAAGGGACAGGCATTTGTCAATACATGAGATGCTGTGTCCTGGCCCATAGGGTGAAGCCTGAAAATTATGAGATCGGTGCTGCAGACTGAGGTTGGCAGTGAGTCTCCCGTCAGCACCCACGCGCCTCTGTTTGGGGGTGGTGGGCATGGAAACATGTCCACTGACCACCTCCTAAGACATTATCATTCATCAGCCAATTGATGATGGTGGAGGTGGTGATGTGAGTAGATGAAGATGTCCTGTGAGAGATCTATCTGAATACTACCCTGTCTTGCACCAGTTCCACCCATCTCTGAGAAGAGATACCTCTATCTCTTTATCCACAGACAGAGACAAAAACATAGAACTCGCTATGGATATATAGATATAAACAGACATGTAGAGACAGGGGATGCGACTGCGGGCTGACAGTCTGGAGGGTTTTCAAAGGCAGTTAATCCCAGAGGAGGACACGGCCCAACCTTCTCCCATGGACCAGCGGGTGGATTTGAACCTTCCCCCTTCGGGGCAGCAGCATGACTGCTGAGCTCCACACCAACACTACTCTAAGATAAGACAGATTCACAGGGACCTCTGCCTGCTTCCTGGCGAGGAGCTGGGTTCCCAGTGCAAAAATACATGGTTCGAGTCCTACAGCTGCTCCATGGAAGAAGGTTGGGCCATCCTTGCAGCAGGTCCAAAGTATGCCGTAGGTAAAATTATAGATTGTTTTATAGGTATCATTTTTACACACACGCATTTGTATTTTACATGTGATGTTGTATAAATGTTTCAACCTTTTGCAGTGTTGCGTAGTATTCCACTAAGTGGCTGTTCCACTGTTTCTTTAGATATTCATTTGCTAAGGGGTCATATACATTGTTTCCAACTCTTTGCTACTATAAATGATGCTGAAAAAACAAATTTGTGGCCAGTTATGTCACTGTGCCTAGCTCCTCTTTGAGATACAGTCTTCATAATGCGATTACTGGATTGTTAACTCCGTTTACACCTTTGTCGGTCTGCAATGCAGCTGTTATTCCTTTGGGAGATTATTTATACCAGGGAGCAGCCCAACATTTTTACGCCCATTCTTAGATAACCCCCCCCAAAGCCCCTTAAAATTATGTCACAAGTTTCCCCTTTGACAGAGGTGACAGGAGTAAACTGGAACAGAGCTCAACTCCATCTGATGTGTTGTTCCATTTCAGGCATCGGCCAGTGGTGGTGGTGGTGGTTGTCAGCACGCTGTTGCTTGGGATGCCCTGCGGCTGCAGGGATGTGACCCCTTCCCAGCCCAACATCCTGCTGCTCATGGCAGACGACCTCGGCATCGGAGATGTCGGTTGCTATGGCAACAGCACCATCAGGTAAGGACCAGGGACCGTCCAGCCTTTATTTACCCAAGGCTGAACCCTGACGGCGGAGAAAAGGAAGGCCGCTGGTACTTTGTATTAGCCAGTCCCAGTGGAAGGAAAATCAGGATACATTGATCTTTGGGATACAATTTGTGACTCTCAAATTGGACTCAACCACCTGAAGCCACCACAAAGGCAAAGCAATGCTGGCCTGTCCAGCCCACAGCTTTGCTCTGGTCGGCTGTCATGGTTAAGATCTATCTGTGTGTGTGTGTGTGTTTCTGTGTGTTTCTCTATCTTTCTGTGTGTGTGTCTGTCTGTCTCTGTCTGTCTTTCTCTTTCTCTCTGTCTCTCTTTCTCTCTGTCTCTCTTTCTCTCTCTGTAATCTCTCTCTTCTCTCTCTGTGTGTCTCTCTCCTGTCTGTCTCTCTCTCTTTCTCTGTCTCTCTGTGTGTGTGTATTTCTTTCCCTCTCTATCTCTCTCTCTCTAATATCTCCTCTGTCTGTCTCTTTCTCTCTCCTGTCTGTCTGTCTCCCTCTCTCTCTCATCTCTCTGTGTCTGTCTGTCTCTGTGTGTGTGTGTGTTTCTCTCTTTCTCTCTCTGTCTCTCTTTCTCTCTCTAATCTCTCCTCTGCCTGCCCCTCTCTTTCTCTCTCCTGTCTGTCTGTCTCTCTCATCTCTTTCTGTCTCTCTGTCTCTCTCTCTCTCTCTTTTTCTCTCTGTCTCTCTCTCTGTGTCTGTCTGTCTCCTCTCTCTCTCTTCTCTGTCTCCTCTCTATGTCTTTTTCTGTCTCTCTGTCTCTGTGTGTGTGTGTGTGTGTCTCCTCTCTCTCCTCTCTCTCTCTTCTCTGTCTCCTCTCCTGTCTTCTCCTCTCTCTCTCCCCCCTCCTCTCCCCCATTTCTCTCTTTCTCTCTCTTTAATTTTAATGAAAGTTTTCACAGACTTTGCATTCCCATTCATTCATTGTTGCACTTCTCTCCCTGCCCATCCCTCCTCCCTTGCTTAATTTTGTAAGAAGGCTTTTGACCGAGTAGATCCTAACAAAGTTATCGTGAGTGTTGAGAAGAGTGGGAATCAGAGAACACTTAATCATGTTTATACACCATGTGAGACTGGCTCAGGACAAGGCAGGCTTCAGAGCTGCTGTATACAGGGCCACCAAGAGTGACAGGAGACACAAGAGCACATCACAGCAACAACATACATGATGTCGATCTCTACCAAGCAGCTGTTGTCTGTCAAAATAAAAACAAGGGAACATTTGCACGGTTTAAAATTTAAAAAAGGGGCTGTATCTGCTTTCCATCTCTAGTCAAGCTATAGGTTGAGCTAATTATTGCAGACGCTGGACTCTCTGGAAAAAAAATAGCATCAGGATTAGAGAAAGACTCGCCCTCATCACATGTCAGGCAGGTGGGCACAATCTCACTGGCTGAAAGGGAGCAGGAATTGAAGCACTAGCTGCAGAAGGTGCTTCTGTGAAGAGTTTTGTTTTCTTGATATTGAGATGCAGTCCAAAGTGAAGGCTGTAGGGTTTTTTTGTCAATATCAAGAAAACAAAAGTCTTCACAGAAGCACCATCGTGAGGGATGGAGAAAAAGACAGAAACCATACGTAGTGTCCTTTTACTTGGTTTTCCCCCCAGGCGACGTCCACTGGGATCAGGAGTGCAGACATCGAAAGGCAGGTGGGCTCATCGGTTGTGTAGGACTTTGCCAAAGAGCAAGGATGTCAGTGTAGAGACTAAGGTGTGCCTGCCGTGACTCTCAGCTCTGCGTGGAATTGGATGCATCTGAAAGTAGGACAATGACGAAATTAGGAACACAGGAAGATGGAAGACTTTGATTTGTGGGGTGTTGGAGAAGCATACTGAATATATTACAGAATATCAAATACGCATTCAAGAAAGTCTTGAAGGACATGCAATCAGGGAGGCCAGGATGGTGAGACTTGGTCTTCTAGGGTCAGAGGCAGAGAGGTAGACTGTCCATGAGATGGATGGACAAGAGTGACCACAGCCCTGGGCTGGAACCTGTCACAGAGGGAGTGAGAATGGGAGTGGACAAGACAGGGGTCAGATTTGTGGTTCCTTGTACAGCAGTTTATACGAACCATAGTCTCTGGGGGCGACGGTGAATCTGTTAGTCTGGGAATAAAACTATTCTCTCTCCCTCCCCTACTTAGGACTCCACATATCGACCGTCTTGCCAAAGAGGGGGTGACCCTCACCCAGCACATCGCCGCAGCCTCCGTGTGCACCCCAAGCCGGGCAGCCTTCCTGACGGGCAGGTACCCACTGCGGTCAGGTGAGGTCTTTCTGATGTCTGACCACCATACAGACCATGCTAACTGGGGAAGCCAGGGAGTGGCTCCATTGGTACGACCCTCATCCTCCGTGTGGAGGACTCGAGTTCGATTCCTGGCCAGGGCACTTTGTGCAAACCCACTGCCCGGCTGTCCTTGGGGGTTTGTGGTGTCCAAGGGGTTTCAGCAGAAGTCTGCGGATGCAGACAGACTAGAAATAAAAGCCTGGCAGTCTTCCTGTGATCAGCAATGCCCCAAGCTCTCAAGAACTCTGTTTTCTGTGACAGTCAGGGAATGACAGGGACTTGGGATCCATCCTGTGGTAATAGGATCTGAATTGCAGTAAATGGCTGTGTTGAATATCATTTCAGATGATCAGATAAGAACTGTAGCTGGGAATCCCTGGGGTGGGACTTGCTGGGAACGGATTTGGGATCAACTCGAAATGCATCTTGCAAACACATACACAAGTCAGAGAATGTAAAAATGTCTCTGGATTCGACAGGACTTTGTTGAAATTGTTCGTCTTTTTTTACATACCTTCTCACCAAGACCATTGGATCAACTCACAGAAAGATCTTTCATAGTCATGCATCCTTTCAGAATTTTTTTCCCCAATATTCCTTTTTGTTTGGGGGTTCCACCCCCCCCACACCTTTTTTGTGTAAGTTATCCCAATAGAGTCCCAAGACAGTAATCAATAAGTCTTCTTATTTATAAAAAGACAATAATCTTCAATAAGTAATCAATAAGTCTCCTTTTTAAAATTTTTTTAATTTTTTCTTTTTTGTATGTGTACCGTCAAATCTGATCTGACTGGCCCAGGAGGAGATTGCCCCTCCTTCTCCAGCAGAGCATCTAATGGATTTGAATCACATATCTCTGAGATTGCAATGAAGTCTTCTTATTATAAGAAGACAATCAGTCTTCTTATTTCTTCAATAGATAATTTTTTAAAAGTTCACTTGTGCCTCCAGAGGCACACACACACACTAAAATAAAATTTAAAAATATTTTAAAAAAATTTCACTAGTGGGATTAACTTTTTATTCAAGAGTCAATACATTCACAAAGCCTTCCAGTGCACAAAACCATTCCATGCAATTGGTAAGAAAAATACCATAAACACAAATGCCACTGTGATAAACTTTGGGATTCTTTCTTTTTTACATAAATTGATTGATTACACTGATAGGTCATGAGGAATGAAGGTAAATGATGGGGCGATTTTTTTTTCATTGCATTCTGTGCCGTGCTGGGTGTCGGCCAATGTTTTGAATTAAAAAGACTGTATATAATATACTTATATACTGTATAATATACTTTTTTAAAAAAGACTATTTACACCTGGTTGTTGATTAAATCAAATTAACCAAACCACTTACATCTGGTGAATGAAATGCAAATGGCCAGACTATTAATACCTGATTGTTGATTAAATAAAAGCAACCTACTTTAAAAAAAACAAACAACAAAACCCAAAACACTATGCATTAACTGCCACCCACGGTCTGCAGGCATGGTGTCCAGCAATAGTAACCGTGTCATCCAGTGGACAGCCGTGTCCGGAGGCCTCCCACCCAACGAGACCACGTTTGCCAAAATACTGAAGGAGAAAGGCTATACCACGGGGCTGATCGGTGAGTCTTGTCCCTCAAGTTTCAGGCTCCTGGATCAAACAGGAGGAGAGAGTTCCACTTAAAAGCTTTGCTGGTTGGTGCCAGTGTGCTTAGCTGTTAATGCAAAGGTTGGCAGTTTGAACCCACCCCCAGGCTGAAGGGGTGGCCACCTTGGAAGACAGATCTGACAATCCATTTCTATATTTCTAATCAATTTCTTGCAAAGGCACCTGTGGGGTCTGAGATCCATGGGGTCTAATGGACAGCCAGCTGGCTCAAAGGTGGACACTCTTTCCCCCCCTTTCCTATTGTCCAGGCAAATGGCATCTGGGGCTGAGTTGCAAGTCATGGAGTGACCACTGTCACCACCCTCTCCAACATGGGTTTGGCCACTTTTACGGCATGCCCTTCACCATGATGGGAGACTGCCTGAGATGGGCGCTGTCCGAGAAGCGGGTGGGCCTGGAGCGCAAACTGGACTGGGGAGCCCACCTCCTGGGCCTGGCGGTTTTCACCTTGGCCGCTGGGAATCTCGTTGGGCTGCTCCGGGTGCCCTGGATGCTGGTGGCTTGGGCTGCGGCCGGGGCTGCCCTGCTGGCCACTGTCTCACACTTCCTGGGCGCCCTGATTGTCCACGCGGATTGTTTCTTGATGAGAAATCGCTCCATTGCAGAGCAGCCCCTGGACCCCCCCAGGACCACAGGGATCTTCCTCCAGGAGGCCCACAGCTTCATCAAGAGGTGAGCTGAGGAGGGATCTTGGACTCCGGGGGGAACTCAGTTCATTGTTAGCTAGAAGGTCGGTGGTTCAAGCACAACCAGAGGCGCCTCGGAAGAAAGGCCAGGCAACCCCCCCTTCTGACACCTGAGCTCTTGGAAACCAGGTGGGAATGCCTCGCCCCATGTGTTACCTTGAACCACAAAACTGAAGGTCACAGGTTCAAATCCATACAGGACACAGAGGGAAAATGATGTCGCTCAAGGGTCTTATATATATTCTAGCCTTGGGAACCTCATTTCTAGTGGACCGAGGCCGTCCAGGAGAAAGGACATGACCATTTGGATCTTGTATTTGTGTCTTCTGATGCTTCCACAAAAAAGGAATGCCATTCATTGTATATTTATTGTGCCTAAAAGTCTTCTAAGTTTTTTTAAAATTTTCTTTTTCATTTCATTTTAACATATTTTT